AATCAATGTAGTTATTATGCTAATATCACAGTTGTAAAGTGAATCTGGCTTCCCTCTTGACTTTGCTTGTCAGAAGGTTGCAAAAGGCGATCACATGACTCTGGAACACTGCGACCGTCATAAATATGAACCAGTTGCTGGGCATCCAAATTTCGATCACATGGCCAATGTGAAAAACAGTTATAGGTCATATTTTTCGGTGCCATTATAACTTCAAATGGTCACTAAACAAATGGTTGTAAGTCGAGGAATTCCTGTAATATCAATTATCTGCCCTGGAGGGAATTTTATTAAAGTTTTAGTTCTTGGGTTTTCACCTTTTTGGGACTTTTTACTATAATCAACATTGTTTCAATTTATATGCTGTCCAGAATCATGACTAATGTAATTTATAAACATAAATAGTGATAAATATAGGGTGAATGCAGTTACATTGATATTCAGATACAGATAACTATTGATCACATAATCCAATTGCCAATATCACCTGATGCTCTTGAGAATATAGCATTTCTCTGCTATTAAAATTAGCTAACATACTTTGAAGATTGAGCCCTGCCCCTACACTATGATTAATCTTGGTATCTAAAGTCACTTTTTGTTTCACTGTCTTTCTCTCGATTGGCTGATAAAGCTGAGTGACACTTCCAAGATGTTTATTAGTTTATTAAGGAGAAGCATTCTTTACTTCATCATAACAGCATCTGAAGCCTCTGCTATTTTTAGACATTGGTGATATTATAAAGTGAACTAGTTTGTTCTAGTGCAGGTGTGTCAAACTCAAGGCCCGGAATGCTTAGATCTGGAGTTCCCTTGGAAACAGTGAAGGACCGGCCCATGGTGCCTCTGTATGTGGCCCTCCCAAGCTCTGTTCTGGGCAGCAGAGGGTTGCAGGAGACCATTGCAGCTGAAAACGGAGCTCAGGAGCTTGTTTTCGCTGGCGAAACACTTGCGCCACCACAGGTTCTCCCTACACAAGTGATGTTGAGCTAGCCATGCCCATGCCGAGGTGGCACAGTGGTTAAATGCAGCACTGCAGGCTACTTCAGCTGACTGCAGTTCTGCAGTTCGGCTGTTCAAATCTCACCGGCTCAGGGTTGACTCAGCCTTCCATCCTTCCGAGGTGGGTAAAATGAGGACCCGGATTGTTGTTGGGGGCAATATGCTGACTCTGTAAACCGCTTAGAGCGGGCTGAAAGCCCTATGAAGCGGTATATAAGTCTAACTGCTATTGCTATTGCTATCACCCCTCCCGCAGCCCCCCAAGGTCAAACACAACCCTGATGCGTCCCTCAATGAAATTGAGTTTGACACCCTTTGGTTAGTTTTTAAGGCACCAGGCTAGAAACCAGCTGACTGTGAAATCTAGTCCCATTTTAGGCATGAAAGCAAGGTGATTTGAGTCAGTCATTCTTTCTTGGCCCACAGTGTCAGGTTCAGACAAGTCAGTTGATCATTTCTGGATACAACCAATAAATCAACTCGCAGCTGATATTCAAAAAACAGAAAAGCATTAAGAAGAAAACTGGTAGTGTGTTAGAAATACGTGAATTATCATAAAAAAGAAAGAAATCAGGAAACTATTATAGAATATCCTATGGTGGGACAGAAAACAGCATATTATGCTGGATAGCTAGTAGAAGATGACAAAGGATGGATAAAATTTGGTGATCACCTAAATGCATCTTAGTAACAAACTAGCAGGAAAGTGGCTCCTTCCATGATTCACTATTGCTGTTCTACACAGCTGCATAGCTTTTTTTGTGGTTCTCCTTTGTAGAACAGCAGTAGTGAATAATGGAAAGAGCCATTATCCTGCTAGTTCAGTATTACTGTAGTTGGCCTGTCAACGAAACTTGTAGGTGCCTTTAGGGCAACTTACATGTAAGCAATATATGAAGATTTTCATGGAAAGCCGTGGAGGAGCCTGAGATTGTATAGGTCTGTGATGGTGAATCTATGGCATGCGTGCCAGAAGTGGCGCACAGCGCCCTCTCTGTGGGCACATGAGCCATCGTCCCAGTTCAGCTGTGCTGCATATACTGTGTGCCTCCTGCTGGCCAGTTGGTCTTTAGGTCTCTGCATGCATGAGCAGGGGGTGTGGCGCATGTGGGGGGCGTATACGCAGGGGTGGGGCATGTGCAGGGGCTGTGCACACATGTGCGGGGAGCTGAGTGCATATGGGAGCTGTGTGCGCATGTGCAGGGGTTGCGGTACATACAGGAGGCTGTGTGTGCATGCACAGGTAGTGGGGGCGTGTGGGGGCACATGCATGCATGGGGCGGGGCACAGTGTGGGGGCTCTGTGTGCATTGCATTTTGTGGATTGAGTGCACACGCTTTGGGCACTCGGTCCAGAAAAGGTTAGCCATCACTGGTATAGGTACACTATATGACACTCATAAAATTACTTTGTTTTCTTCTGCATGTCTATGGAGATTCTGAGTCATCCGGGTCATGGTTGTCCCAAAGGTGCTTTTTCAAAAGACAACTAGACTTCCTTGTTTTTCATTGAAGGCACTTCATTTCTTATCCAAGAAGCTTTAGTCAAAACTGAAGACGCTTCTCAGATGAGAAGCGAAATGTCTTCAAGGAAAAACAAAGTCCAGTTGCCTTCTGTTCTTCATAATTTATGGACATCTTCACATTTAAAGAACAAAACCGCCTTTCTTGATTGAGGGCAAGTGGTTGGGGGGGGGGGAATAAGTGTAAGTAGCTGCTCCTTGGTTTTAGTTTTGAAAGAAAAGTTAAGCTGCGGAGGAATTATTGCACGGTAGAGCATTGATTTAGAACGCTTCCATCTGAGGATACTGACAGATAATCTGTATCTGAGGGTATGATCCAAAAATAAAGCAGAGACCAGTTCCATTATTTCATGCCTGGACTGTGACAGGTTTCAGCAGGGAGGAAAGGAGAAAATGCCCATCTTGCTTTCTGCAGCTGTGTCAAAGCTGCATGCAGTGGTAGCAGTGTGCATGCAACATTGGGATAGGGTGCGCAGAGGGAGTCATAGTTCAGAGGCAAAACAAATATACAATTTCCCCATTTCAATCTGTAGCACATTCTTTCATCTCGGTGCCACTGGTTGTGTAGGGATTGCAGCATGCTAGATTGTGGGATTTAACTGGATGTTAGATTCCGGGATCTAGTATGATAAATACTTGGATTGTAGTCTCAGTAAATATGGAGGGTATTAGGTTGGAGAGGCTTACTCCATCATGGGCTGATTACAGGTTCATGAGTATAAGAGCTGAGGAAATATCTGGTTGGTTTTTTTCATTGAATTAAGCAGTATGGGCTTAATAGATTCTAGTATATGCAGGATATATGGGGCAAACTGGTTGTTGTTAGTTGCGAAGTCGTGTCCGACCCATCGCAAGCTCATGGAGAACGACCCTACAGGCCTTCCTGTCCTCTACCATCCCCCGGAGTCCCTTTACGCTCATGCTGACTGCTTCGGTGACTCCATCCAGCCACCTCATTCTCTATTGTCCCCTTCTTTTGCCCTCAATTATTCCCAGCATTAGGCTCTTCTACAGTGAGTCCTTCCTTCTTATTAGGTGGCCAAAGTATTTGAGTTTTATCTTTAGGATCTCGATTACTGCCTTGTCATGGTGAAGAGGCGTGCGTACACAAGCCCTTCATGGATTACTGCCTTGTGGCAAAGGGCATAGCTCTTGTCGTGGCAAATTGGCATAGCTCAATGAAGCTATGAGCTACGACCACCCAAGATGGACAGGTCATAGCAGAGAGCTCTGACAAAACGTGATCCCCTGGAGAAGGAAATGGCAACCCACCCCAGTATCTTTGCCATGAAAACCCCATGGACAGTACCAAAAGGGACAAAATGGAGCAATAGTCAAACTTTGAATCAGAGGAAGTTGCCTTCCAAGAAATAGTGAGTAATAATAAATATGAACTAAGTCAGTGGTTCTCAACCTGTGGTCTGTGGACCCTTGGGGGGCACGATATAATCACAGGGGGTCCATGAAAGCTTGAAGAAATTTAAATCTTAAGTTTTGGGGGTCTGTGGCTATGATCCATGGCCACAAAAGGTATTTAAAGGGGTCCTTGGTGAAGAAATTTTTTTTTTGAGAATCACTGAACTAATTTGTGTAGGAAGCCAGGGAGATGACCTTGGAGAAGGGATACAAAAGCTTTCAGGTGCAGAAGGAATATCTTATGTTTAGAGAGACAGAAGAGAATTATAAAATCCCAGACACGAAAGCCCCTGGAGTACAAGGAGGAAGGAGGGGGGAGAGATGGAGAGCCTTGCAAGGTTCTGCTACTAAGGCTTCTCTCAATAAAATATAGTTACAGTCCTGTGGAGTCTGTTTTCTGATTGCTCTAGGTTGAAGGGCTGACAATTTCTTTGTTACTAACTGTAAGAGCAAAAGGACAATAGGAAAGGCTGAAGGACTCTTGGGTACAATAGGGACAGTAGGTCAGAACAGTTTATCCACTGGGCAGGATGGCAATTTTCCATATATTGAAGCTCCGGGGCTCAATTACAAAAGTCTTTGCCAAGTCTTTTTGAACTTTGATCAACAATGTCCAGCTGTTGCAAGCTGCTCTTGCCAGAAAACCAGGAACTGCAAGGTCTTTACCCCACCCACCCCCTGTAATTTAAAATATAAAACTCTTGAAATAGCACATTAAAATGCACAAAGCCTCAACACGAACCACCTTGTTGCTGAATGTAATTCCACCAAGTCTCGAAATGAGAATAGTATATACTAACGTTTCCATCCCAATTCCTATCCCCAAAGATAAATCTAAGCCATCCCACTGAAACAAATGAGTTTCCTTGCAGTTTAATATAAGATATACACAAAATGTCTCTGCTTATTTTAGAACCATACGTCTTAGCGTGAAATCAAGCTTTCCAGCTACTCAGTAAATAAAGGCAATCATAACAAAATAGGCACCTTTGCTTGATCTGATTAGTAAAATAAAATGTGCATCGGTGAATGTGAAGTTTTGTGTTTGCATTTGCTTTAGGGATGACGAAGAGAAGAAAAAATCCCCTTCAGATGGCACTGATGAGAAGGATAATGGAAACCAGTCCAGGTCTGTCAGTCGCATCGGCAACTCCAATAACCCCTTCCTGGATATTCCTCATGATCCCAATGCTGCCGTGTACAAAACTGGATTCCTGGCACGGAAAATCCATGCTGATATGGATGGAAAGAAGAGTGAGTGTCCTTCAGGGGGAGCTGCACTTTCAAGGAAAAGAGATAACCGGGGGAGGGAGAGAGAGAAGTGGTAAATGCAGAAACTTGAATATGCACAATTGTGTGTGCCTGTTTGCTTGCTACTGGAAATTGCTAAAAGGTGCTACTAGAAGAGTAACTGGGAATCTGGCGGCCCTGAAGGAAAAGCTGAGAAAATGCCTTGTGCAAATATCTAGGAAGGTTAAGGAGAGAAAAAGCTCCAGCAACCCATCTGAGAATTGATCCGGGAGGTGGAGGTTGTTCCTCTGCCTCACTATCTAGCTCCCTCTCTGCCTCCGATGCAGAGCCCTCATCTGAGCTTCCCTCATCCTCCAGGACTGGCCCATGTTCCTCCCCAACCTCCCCAATCAACACACAGCTGCAATAGTTTTTTCTCTTTTGCTAGGCTTTGCTATTGTTCCCTTCCAGTCATTTCACTTGCCACAGATATACGGGGAGACTCCTCTGTGACAGAACTCAAAGGATGAGATTGCTCTCCTGTTTAGCCTCTTCATAGTTCCACCCCAGGAGAGCCAGATTGGTGTAGTGATTAAGGCAGCTGTCCCCAACCTCTCTGGCTTGCTGGAGCAGGGGGGGGAGGGGGGGCTTCTAGTTCCTCTGGCCATCCTTCCCTCTCAGCCTTAGGAAGGAGGCAATGGCAAACCACTTCTGAAATCTTGCTGAGAAAACTGGGACTAGACCAGGACACAATTCTCTACCCCCCCACCCACCCAAAAAAAACCCAAAGTCCTGAAATAGGCTGAAAAGCTTTCCCATTGCTTTATTTTATACATGTTTCTGTTCACTACAACCACTTTCGTAGCAGGTAGCTCCAATGAATACAGGGCTGGTAAATATAGGACGGAGGGGAAAAAAGGGGGGGGGGGAAAGAATATTAGTTTTTTTTTTCTTTTTGGAAGGGACAGATATAGAGTTCCTATTATGCACTGATGCTTCTTTGGACTACCCTTCTCCTGCAATACTTTTTTTTTAAAAAAAATACTTTATTATGATTTTTAAATAATATTTTCTTGCTTTTTTCTATACTTTTGGCTTCCTCTTTTTTCCCTAAATATTAATTTCTATTAGTTTTTTTAATTATCAAAACTAGTTTTTAGAAGAAAAGGGGGGGGGGGCAGAAAGGCTTTACAACCAAAAGAGCATATTATTTATGTAAGAGATACTATATTTTAAACAGAATTTGTGTTTTTTGTCTGTGTGTTTGTGTTGCTTTCCTAGCTCCACGAGGAAAAAGAGGATGGAAAACATTTTATGCTGTCCTTAAAGGAACTGTGCTTTATTTGCAGAAGGTAAACTTTTGTTTCTTTTAACTCTTCTTGGTTAAAAAGCAGAAGCCTTGTTGTTTGTCCTTCTTAGGATTGCTTTGTTGAGTAGTGAACGCACCATGCCTACAATATAACTTAGGACAATATAGTCTGTCTGAGGAATTGTTGTGGTCTGCCAGCAACCAGCGGAGCTGGTGGCATAGTTGGACAGTGAGGAGGTTGGGGAGGAACATGGGCCAATCCTAGGGGATGAGGGAAGCTCAGATGAGGGCTCTGCATCGGAGGCAGAGAGGGAGCTAGATAGCAGTGAGGCAGAGGAACAGCTGGAGTCTGTTCCCAGTGTATACATGTGCAGAGCTGCCAGAAGATGAGAACAACTAAGAGAGCAGGGTCGACTTGGGAGTAAAGCCACACCTTGGAGGTAATTGGCCCTTCCCATAGGAAACAAAAGAGGAGCGAACAGGAGGAGGCTTTTGCAGGAAACAGTTCGTTCCTCCAGTCGTTTCGAAAGTGGAAAGTTCTGTTTGTGACTATAAGAAATTCTGTGCCAAGTGTTGCCTTGCCCTGCATTTGGAAACTAATTATCTGGCAGCTCTCCAAGTGAGATAAAGTTCATGTTGATAAATATTCCTCTATAAGACTATTTGCCAAGCCTTGCTGACTGTGGATGAAAGGAATTCACAGTCATGTAAATAAAAGAGGTTTTGCCGGGACCAAGACTTTGCTTCATGCTTTTTAAGGAAGCCTAGGTCACAACAGAAACTGTCTCACCTGATGGAACTAGCTTACTACATTTGTTCCAGCAGAAGCGACCTACTTTGGATCCCATCTGTCAAATAATTTTGGCTGGTGAGGTTCAGGGGAAAAGCCTGCTGTGCCCCCTGCTTTCTGGAATATTCTCCCACTAAAGATAAGGTCTGCCCCCATACTACTGACCTTCTGAAAAACTTTACCCTTCCAACTGGCCTGGAGCCACAGTCAGGGTGTGCTATATTGGGGATGGCTGATGGGGTAGAGAGAAGATCTCACCTCCAGGCCATCCATCATCTTGGATTTTAGCTTTGCTGTTTAATTTTCTAATTTTATTTATAATATCTTTTTATTTTTTATCATATTGCAAACCTCCCAGAGTTGCTGTATCAGTGAGATGGGCAGAATAGAAATTTGATAAAAAAATAAATAAACTTTGGATGCTTACTGAATTGCTTTGGGTTGAGTCCCCTTGGGAATAGGGCGGCATACAAGTCTAATAAACTAACTAACTAACTAACTGTTTCAAAGGCATGTATAATTTGGATTTTTCTCCTTCGTACAGCCCGAAGCAGAATACATTTCTTCTTCTAAACTTAGTAGTTGCAGTATATATTCTGTCATCATGCTGGAGAAATGTGCAGTTTTTTTCATAGGCAGTCCAAAATCTTACAAAAACAGAGTTAGTGGAAGTCACAATCTGAATAATTCATTGCTTCCTTGAAACACTTAAATATACTATATATTTCTCTACTGAGGTGATGTTGTGTAGTGATCTATCACTTATCTACTTGTGGATTGGTTGATCTTAATAAGGTTACATTGATTGTATGTGTTCTGCATCTTGTGTGCCTTAAGATCGCTACAGGAATAATCACCAAATAGACTTTTCCAAGCTTTATCCTTCTATGTTATTTATTAAGGCAGCAACTGGAAACAATTGCATGGATAGTTTGATGTCCTTCAGATATTTTGGGTTTCCTGGCTAGAAATACTGGCTAGAAATGATTAAAAAGTAAAGGTTCTCCTCACACATATGTACTAGTCGTTCCCGACTCTAGGGGGTGGTACTCATCTCCATTTCAAAGCTGAAAAGTCAGCGCTGTCCAAAGACGTCTCTGTGATCATGTGGCCGGCATGACTAAACGCCAAAGGCACACGGAACGCTGTTACCGTCCCACCAAAGATGGTCCCTATTTTTTCTACTTGCATTTTTACATGCTTACATACTTTACATGCACCACCGAACTTCCAACTTTCCTGATCGACAAGCTCAGTGTCTTAGCTGCTGATATTAGAATTGGTCTAAATTGTCAGAAGACTGACTTCTTTACATATTTCCATGGAAATCAGCCTTATAAGGATGACATAGCCTTCTTGATCATCTTCAAAATGTTCTTTCTCTAATAATTGGTTGAATAAAGATATTTGATTGTCAATATTTATATTAAAATTGTTTTTTGCTGTGTTTTCAAAAACAAAAACCCAAACATGACTATTATAAAAACAGTCAGACTTTGTTTTGTTAAGAAAAGTATTCTTTTCATGGGAATTTTAGAATTATACATCTGTGAAAGGTCCTGGATTTCTCTCTTTATAATATCTCATTCAATTATAATTCCAGGATTCTCTAAAATTACAACAGTTAAACTGGAATTAATCTGAGAAAAGATTCTGTTTGTATGTATGTGCATATGCAAAGATTGGTGGTTGAAACTAAAAAATAGTTTTATGAACAAATGCCAAATATTTCTGTTCTGAAGAAAATGTATAAAGATTAATATAGAGATTGTATACCCTGTTTCCCTGAAAATAAGATTTCCCTGGATAATAAGCCCAATTGGGCTGTTGTGCGCATGCGCTAAAATAAGCTCTCAGCAGCAGCCATGAGGTGACTACTCTCACCGCCTGCTGCACCTCAAAAATAATAAGACATCCACGAAACTAAGGCCAGGCACTTATTTCAGGGATCAAAAGAAAATAAGACCTTGTCTTATTTTTGGGAAAACATGGTGGAAAATATCTTTTCACTTTAGAAGATAATCTCTACTTGTGCTTATAATTAAAAATGACCAGTGAATTCCCTTCACTTTTTTATTCCAGTTTTCACAGCAATGACATCCTTCTTTTAAGAGACAGGGAGTGTGGGCTATGAGTTATGTTGCTGATATTATGTCTTAGCTAATTCCAAAGTCAAACATTGCAAAAGCTGTTTTTAAAATACTGCAGGTTTTGTTTTTTTAAAAACCCACAGTTTTTTTTGCTAGTAAACTTGATTTATTTTTAACAGAACTCTTTAAGGACTTGTAAAACTTTGAAAAAATAATCGCCTAGAATTTTAAAATGTGCAGGATTTTTGTCATTGTTATTTGACTTATGCTTCCTGTTTCAGACAATATAGAGAATGGTAGAATATGCCATTATGTTTCTCCCCCCCAGTAACATAAGCTTAGTTAACTATAGATTCCTTTGATAATAATGTATAAAAATCTCTCCTTAGCAAACCTGTCTAGCTACAACTCTGCTTACAATATAATATATCAACAAGAATATTGCTTTGTCTTGACTTTGCCCTGTGACCTTGGTTCCACTTGCTTCTGGATGATATCTAGTGCTCTCCCTTAGAGATTAAAATCAAAATATTATTAATTGTAGTATCTTGAAAAACAATGATTCCAATATACCCCTTTTCCTAGGGGGAAAAATATCTTGCTGAAAAGAAAAATGCATTGAAGGAAAGGATACAAAACGGTCTTCAAATACCATATGGAATGTGTCAAAGTTAGCTTTAAAATTCAGTTTTTACCTGGGAAAAATCAGAAAATGGAGGAGAAGCTAGAAAAAGAGAGGACACTTATGACTGGTTATCAGAAATATTTTTAAATTACACCAAAGAGAGAGAGAAAGAGAGAGATGGTATAAGTAAAGCCAACAGTATTCATGAAGCAAACATTTGTGTGAACCAACCTAAAAATGGGAGAATTGAGGAATGGAAAGGCTCTTAAATGGGGTGATTAAATACAATTTAGCATTGTGCACTAGATTCTGCAACCAACTTGTGAGACAAGGAATGGATTATTGGAACATACTCTCTGTCTTCCTTCCATTTTTCAATTCTAGAAATTTTAAACGACAAAGGAGAAAAATATAAAACAGGATAAGAATATGCATTTTTTCAGAAGTATAGTTCATTCATATAGTTGATTAAAAATTTTATACGGAGCAACAAAATTTTTCATATAACGCAAAAATAGTATTGTAATTTTTTTTATTTCAACATAACTACAATTTACAAATATAAATTGTAACTCTTGCCAAACATCAACATTTTGATCACGTGACCATGAGGATGCTGCAATGGTCGCTAAGTGTGAAAATGGTCGCTAAGTGTGAAAATGGTCACTAAGTGTGAAAAATGGTAATCAGTCACTTTTTTCAATGCCATTGATAAAATTTATCCCAAATCTTATAATATTCT